ATATATATATATATATAGTGTGTGTTGTGTGTGTATATATATATGTATATATATATATATACATTTGCGTTGTGCTTCTGAATTATAACTTTGAAATAACCCTGCATTGCTACTTCGATTATGTAGTACACCATGTGAAATTGTTCACAGCTCCGCCAACAGGCATTGACCTGGTATGATATTGTCTACACTAACAATGTTTTATATACATTCACACGTGTTCAGTCGAATATTTGTTTTTACAGATTCACTACGTTGGATGTGGAAAGTGTAAAGCTACGGGAAAATCTTCAGGACAAGAGATGCAGGTCTTGAGTGATTGCCTTGTGGTAAAACAGTGAATATTACTAATATGGAACTATAGAGAAGCAAAATATAAAGGGCTTGAACAGTACTTTGATTTGAACAACTTGAATTACACATGTTCTCCATCAGTGCATGAATTCCATAACGGACCCAGCTGAACTCACCAAAAAGTTTAACTCTTAACTGGCCAAATGGGTCAGCTTTGTCTGACGCGACCGTCATAGCACTGAACGGCACGCTAAACCCTCCCAAGTCCTGTTCTGCAAGCAGACCGATGACAGCGTTGTCTGATGACCTGAATTGAGTTAGCTGTGGTGGTGGGTTCAGGGCACGAGTTTTGCCCAGCAAGTACTCTAATTCCAAAGCCATGCATGCAAACCATTCGATAATATTATTTCAAAATCTGAGTGGAGTAGAACGGCGCGATAAATGCTAACCTGTAATCAAAGCCTACCTACTGCGTTGTTCAGCGCGCCGTTCCGCAGCACCTCGCGCGGGCTATGGTCCGGCTCGCCCTGTTCTTCAATGACGTCATAACACAGCTGTCACATGGGGCTGTCGCGGGCACCCGACGTAGGCCAGCTTGCGTCGGGCGCCCGCCAATCAAAACAGACCTCTGCCGGCGACAGATGGAGTTAGAGCCAGATGAGGACGTTCAGAATCATGGATGTAGTGACGCCATCACGGTGTGCACTGTGCCGTGGATGAATGCTGGCCCTTCGGTGGCATGCGATTTAAACTGGATGTAGCCAGCGTATGAACTTCAAGGCGCCCGCAGGTACATAGTTCCGCGCAGACCTACTATGTAGTGTTGAATGCCTCCTCGCAGATTTCTATTTCCTCCCGTCGTGTGTTGCTATTGTCTTAAAAATACCTGCCCATTTATAGATGAAAGTACGGTACAGATCGTTGTCAGCATATATTCATGCATCAGAAGAACCACCAGAAGTGAAGTGTCGCAAGAGGAATGGCCCGGGTGAGGAAAAGCGTTGCAGCCCTTTGCAGGTGTTTGAGGCTCCCCATGTCCACCCGAGGCCCTTTAACTCGCAGCCCCAGACACAAACAAGCAGCGAAAAGGCCACGAACTCCCAAGCCTCGCATTTGAGCAGGATCTCTCTTTCCCTTGCATTGGACAAAGCTCCGCTCCTGGCATGATCAGGTGCGTGACAGAGAGCCTGTTGCCTGTTTATCACCACGCCACAGACCCTGCATGCCGAGTGTCCGTTGAAGACTTGTTTGTCTCCACGTGCCCGGCAGGGAACGCTGTGCTCGGCCTGTGTGATGGACTACAGGAGCGTAGGCGACCTCTCCGGCCCCCAGGCGGACAAAGGTCAATCCTACGTCACCGTCATCCCGGTGGAGTACGCGCGCAGGATGCCTGCTGGCCACGCCTACCTGGAGGACCGCTACTCCAGGTCAGTCGGATACAGTCGCGGGTGTCCACACGCATCACTCGAAGGAAGCTTAGATCAGCTTGCTCGATGCTATGCATTTGATGAACTACGAGCCTGATGGCAACGGTAAAATGCGATGCCAATTACGTGGCCGGCACAATGCTCATTTAATTTAGATTAACGTTCACGTTAGTGTCTGGACCTGTTGTACCTTTGTTTAACTTCATTTCACGCCGATGCCATGCATTTCAGTCAGATACCACTGGATTCTGCAGTTTGCTCATTTTCTTTCGAAAAAAACTTTCGTTGAAGCGAGACGTAAAGAGCTAAGACATCAAGCATACACATACATACATACACACATACATACGTATCTACATGCATACATACGTACCCATGTACATATATACATATATATGATAGTTTTGTGTACATATATATATATATATATATATATATATATATATATATATATATAATATGTAGGAGGAGGGCCGAAGCTACTACATCATGCAACAAAGTTCGTCACACCTGTGAGGTACGGGTCAAAGCACGATGCATGACTCTGTCAGCAGAACACACACGCTGACGCAGCTACCGGGGTCATGGGGCGGGGGACATTACCCCAGCTTTCTGAGAATTAAGCATTGGCCCTAATAGTCCAATGTAGTTGACTGAAAAAGCGCCCGAAAACAGCTATAGTTTTTTAAACGGTCGCCTACAGCTGTCGGTCGCTTGTGACAGTGACGACGGATGCCCGCGGACAAACTCCGTCGCTCCGTCCCGCCACCGTCGGTCGAGCAGGCCCGCCCCGCCCGCCGCCGGGCCGCTCCGCCCCGCCGCCGGTCGGTCGGGCGGGACGGGACGGCGGCGGGGACAGAGCGCAGCGCCGACAGGAAGCCGGATGGGCGGGTCACCCTCCCCCTCCCAACGGATGGGGTGGGCGCGCGGCGATCAGTGGGGGCGCGACAGGCTGTGGTGAGAGGCCGGCGAAACCGACCGCGAGCACTATGGGAAAGCGAACACCTGTCTGGGAACTGTGAGTACACAACCGCACGGCTGCTAGCCACGGATGGATGGGCTGTGTGCTGTGTAATGCCTCGTTATCCTCAAGGGCAAGTGTTGCGCGCCGGTTTGCAACCGAAACATTCGTGGTAATAACAACCGCATGACCACAAAGTTATGTGGGCTTGACCTTTGTCAGACCGGTAACATGCGTTCGATTTCGCGCATTGAACTCATGTTATATAGCATTTGGGAAACCTTGTAGTTTGGTCTCTATTAACTGAAGAACCATATTCACTCGAAAACTGTTCATCCCGGTGGCTCAGCTGGCTGAAGCGCCTGCCTTTCGATTCACCCACATGTGGCGGAGTGAGTTCGAGTTGCTTTGGGCCCTCGCCATTTGCCCTTGAAATGTATGGCCTGCGGCCGGCGGCAGCGGTCGTGTTTAAGGTCAGTGGACGTCAGAGGGCAGCATGGACCGGCACCACCTTGGCTGCATGAGGTGCCGACAGAGGGCTACGTAGACCAAGACAGCATTCTTCTGTAGTGCTTCCAAAGTTGGTACTTGAAGACTTGATGAGGAAATATTGCATTTGGGGATTGACGGTAGTACTGCACACAAGGCGGTGACTTCTTGAGATATTCAGAAAGAAAATTAGTTTATTATATTGCAAATGCAAAAAGTCATTAGTAGGTGCGCAACTCAATTGTTCAATGTTGATAGCGTTGACAATGGTTCGATGGATTTTGCTCTTTTCGATTTTACTGGAATTAAATACATGAGTGGCTTTGGCCTTGAAGTACATGCTGAGCAATGTTTTTACCCGTGCCCTGGGCGGCACTTTTGTCTGTGCCCTAAGCAGTGCCCATACCCTGAGCAGTGTTTTTGCCCATATCTTGAGCAGGGTTTTTGCCCGTGCCCTGAATGGTGTTTTTGCCCATACCCTTAGCAGTGTTTTAGCCCGTGTCCTAAGCTCGGTGCGAATAGCTGCAATTCCAGCTCAGTGTATGACTTTGCCTCCCGCCCCCGCTCCAAACAGGATCGTGGAAAGATGTTTTACACGCCTCACGATCCTATCACACGGCGACCCATGCCTGGATGACTCTCTTTTGTCAGGTCCGACCTGCTCACTATGTGCATCATTGTTGTGCCAAGCCGTTCGGCTTCTCAGGGGTTCGGAGCCGGCGCCCTTTCCCACCGGACGCAAGTGGTCGAGTTTACATCCCAGACCGCATGATAGATATCGCTGCCGAGGCGACTCCTGTAAATGTTTATATTGCAAAAATGACAGGACGCACGCGAACCCGGTTGACGCCTTGCAACGTCTGCAATACGACGTCTGCTTGCATACAACAGATAGTGGCAGCTAGCAGATAGCCGAAGAAATGGTCAAGAAGTGCTAATTTTCCGCTCAAATTCAGAGATATGGGTACTTGGCGATTCGCTACTTGGCAATTCGGAACCTTTCGATCCTGCACGTCAGAAGTCTGCACTCAGATTAGCTGGCATTTTGTTGGGGCATGTCCAGCGACTAGATGTAAACACATCTACGGATACATACAATGTAACTCAGCCAAATGGTTTTGAAACCATTCGTTCGTAGCATCAATTACTTCCTTTCTCTGATATCGCCAGTAACCTCAGCTAGATTTTACTTAATCAAACGGCAGCACTGCCACTGAGCTGATCACGCATATGTTGCGAATCCATTGAACGTATTATATCATGACATCGTTCCGTCGTAATGATCAAGCCCTTTCAGCATCTCTCAGCACGGTCAGTCTTAACACGCTCCCGGATGGCTGGTTGGATACCCTTCGCTCGGATGGGGGTCAATTTGACCCGCTTTAGATCTCAGAAACTAAGAAAGCTAGAGACACTAAACTTTTAGGGCGTGGGGGCCTGTACCTGAACTAACTCAAGTCAAAGCTTGAGGTTCTTATGTTATGGACTTTGGGTCAAATAAGGTCAAACTAGGTCAATACCCAGGCTGGCCTTCAAAGTGCCCCCAGTATCTAGATGCCTGTTCTAAGCAAAAGGTTACATGATCACCCAAGTTCAATGACCCTGTTTGACCTTTCGAAGGTCATTGTGACCAAAATCGTACAAGAATTCTTTGAGTTTTGCATCTGAGTAAGCAAGAAAGATTACGTTAGGCGGTATATTTCTAAAAGCAAAACGTTGGCCCAGGCCATTTTACGTCAGCGATTTATTCGGGCCTGGGAGAAGTGCTTGGAAGATTTATAATGCGGCTCCTGTTATCAATAAATTCAAAATGAGCACCAGAAACTGCACCATACAGCAAGCCCTAGAGTGTAAAAACTGTTTGGCTTTGACCTTGGTCTCACATTCAAAACTGATCTTAGATCGATTAAATTTGTTCATTTAAGTGTTGCATTGTCTCAGAAAGTATCTCAGTGGTGTCTGATCTCGTCTAACACTCCGTTGTTGCATCAGACTGATCGATGCCCTAGAAATTGCCTTCGCAGAATCCACGGCCTGACTTTGACCTGTCGTAGGTCAGCGAGCTTGCGAGGTACATCTCATTTTTATACCAGACGATACGCCATTTAGTTGTCTAAGGTCATGCAACATTTAGCGCGGCGGCGCTCCACCGTTCAGAAACCATTCTGGAAAAACCTTTCGGGGGGGGTCAACTTGACCCCCACCTGAGCGCGTCTTAAGATTTGAACATCATGCATGCTACCTGCCGCGGCGTCGCATCTCAACGACAAACCCGGCAATATGGATTAGGTGGCACACGCTGTTGGGCCCTGGCGTCTCTCAGACACGCAACTGTAACCCGCTTACACCCCAAGAAGTCTTCCGGCGCGGGTTGCAGTTCGACTGGATCTAAGTTGCTTAGTTCCGTGGTGCTACTTCTTAGCGCCGACAAAGATGTGCTCTTTTCAAAACAGCCGTGTATAAAGAGCAGCCTGTCAGTGTCATTTGTTGTCAACGATTCTAAAGTGACATCTTGGAAACGATTTGACGGACAACTTATTGACTTCGTTGTCCTACGCCTGCCACGATCCTATAACGCCGCAGCCCCTGGGCTCCCCTGTGTTCCGTGTTCCATGGGAGCTGCGCATGAACACCCTGCGATAGGTGAGGTCATCGCGCTAGCTCGGGGTGCAGGCGCGGCTCAGTTGCCACAGGCACGATGATGCCAGAACTCGCATCCCAAATGACGTGATTCATGCTTTGAATGAGTGAAGGGACCGAACATTAGCGGCCGTTGCGTCTGCTATCAAGAGCCTATGCTCTAAACAGCAAAACTAAAGTCTTAAGATACTTTTTATTTGTGTCGCTGAAGAGTTAATTTATTTCCATAAGGTGAGCAATGTGGGGGCGATGCTGAAGGCCTGGTCTGATTTACATTGCATGGGTTAGCTTCCAAATTTTGGGTCTGAAATGCACGCATTTTGCGGGACATTCCGCCTGAACAGGTCATCATACGTTATGTTTGGCAATTGCTGGCTGGTCTGGGGGACCGGGGTGCTATTGCCTCTTCTTTGCATGGCAAGAAAATCCCCAACTGGAGCGACGTGGTCCGCCCATAGTATCGCGGTTTCTAGAATCCCATACATTTACAACCACTGAGCTTCAAACTCATGCAGGTGCAAACGATAAGATGCACAACCCGGAACTGTATACGTTTGAATAAATTTAGTTGCAAGCCAAGCTATTTCCATGCAACTTAGCGATTTAGATGCAACTGAACCTCCCTCATTCGATTCGCCACTCATTCGCCCGCCGCCTGTCCTGACGCCGGCCGTGTGTTGCCGGCAGGGAGTACATGCGCGACCGGCTGCCACCCGAGTACCTGGTGCGCGAGTACAAGAAGGTGTCGCGCTACGAGGAGATGCGCTACTACGGCGGCGGCGGGGCCGGTGCGCAGCTGGGCTCGGCGCGCCCGCCGCCGCCGCCGCTCTCCAGCTACGAGCTGGGCGGCCTGGGCGGCCGGCGCCGCTTCGAGCAGCTCGACCCGCGTGTCCAGTGCTACCCGCTGTCGAGCACGCTGGGCCGGCGCAAGCCGAGTGAGCACAAGGTACGCGACCCGCTGGACGTGCATGACGTGCAGCTGAGCCACTACAAGGCGCACCAGCACCACGGCGGTGCGCTGCACCACGCGGCGCCGCACCACGGTGGTCCGGCGCGGCTCGGTCAGCAGCAGCACCTGGGGCAACCGCACACCAGCCAGCAGCAGCACCTGGGGCAGCAGCACGCCAGCCAGCAGCAGCACCTGGGGCAGCAGCACGCCAGCCAGCAGCAGCACATGGGACAGCAGCATACCAGTCAGCAGCAACACCTGGGACAGTCCCACGCGAGCCAGCAGCAGCACGTCAGCCAGTCGCATCTCAGCCAATCGCACCAGGTGCAGCAGCATTCCAGCCAGCAGCACCCGATCCAACAGCACAGCAGCCAGCAGCATTCGAACCCGCACGCGTCCACCGGCGCGCGCTACGACCCTCTCAAGCATCAGCGCGTCTACGACAAGGGCCTGTACGCCGACATGATGAAGGAGAAGCACGAGAAGACCGTTTACAACGAGCGCATGCGCGAGGCGCACTCGGACTCAAGCGTGCTGGGGCTGCACGTGCACGGCCGACGCACGCCGCCTGCCGGCTTCCCGCCGCCGCCGCCGCCGGTGAGCGTGCCCCCGCCGATGGCGCCACAGCAGATCTTGCCGCCGCCGGCCGGCTACCAGAACCAGCCGGCCAAGAAGCCGCCGAGCCCAGTGCCGCCGCCGCTGGCGCAGCCGCAGGCCGGCCCTATCCCAGGCAAGGTGGGCCGCGCGCCCACCCCCAACCGGCGTAAGACAAAAGGTCAGTTCGCCGTGGACAGCGGCTACCCGCGCTGGAGGTGCTTGTGGATGCTTGGCATGATCCCACGAGTAATATTTGGGATGTTAAAACACAAAGTCGGCATCTTGGTTGAAAAGCTTGCCACGTGATCTGTGTTGCGATAATGCATCAGATGTATCTAGTTAGCCAGTTATTTGCCAACCGCGTTCTATTTTATCGTCAAAATAGCGTGTGAGACCCGTTTATGAAGATGGTGGTTCGCGTTACATTAAATGTTTGTTGTGCAGGTGAACGACTCCTTATCTGACTGATGCACTCATCACTGTGGGGACAGGGGGACAGAGGGACTTGACCCTCCCCATCACACAGCTTTTTGAGAGTTGAACATTGGCGTATAGCGAAACAGAAAGAATTCAGCTCAAAATTGATATCGGCGTTTCACTGTATGAGACGTTTTTAAACGTAACGACAAGGGAGCAGTTTCGAAAAATGAGTTGGAAGAGCTGATCAGTGAAACATGACACGATTTGCTCCGGAATAGCCAAAAAACGAGATTCTCTCCGGATTACGGCATCAATCCCTCTAAAAGTTGGGGTGGGCTGGAACCCAAGTTGGGAAGCCCCCTCCCCTTCCCCAACTGGAAAGGAAAATGCACCCCCTGTTTACGGATGTGCGTGTGTGGGCATCCCATGTAGATGCGCGCGAATTAGCCTCACATGACCTGTTGATCGGTTGACATGGTCGAACATCCCTAGCGTAGAACTCACGGAACGTGTGCTTCGCAGCGGCGCCGCTAGAGGTCTGCGTATACCTGATGTCGCAGCAGGCCGTCCGCCTGGAGGCGGATGACGGCGCCGAGCTGACGGCCTCGCAGCTCCAGCAGTGCGTCATGGAGGAGGAGGACTTGGGCCTGCCGCCCATGGCTTCGCAGGTCTTCAGCATCTGGATGACCTCGCCACAGCTAGGTAGGGCGCAGCTGGATGCTGATGCGAAGCAAATGCAGGGCTCCGGCAGTTGCTTCCGGATCTTACAGTGACTGAAGAAGCCTCAGTTGCTAACCTCACCAAGTCAATAGCGGCCAGGCCTTCTAGGAAGTCCCTAGCAACATCGCATGCCACGCGCTCCTGTTAAGAGAGATTTGAGCAGGATCGGATCCGAGGTCAATTTCTGAACAAATTCACCGGTCCGGGACTCATATAATAATAGGCTGGATAGTGTTTTGGCTTGTTTTGTTCAAACCCGAACGCTGTGGCTGTAGACTGCTCTTTGTGTCGACGCCACCCATCCCATTTCCTTTCAACGCTGACAAACCACAGCTGCTTATGCCGTTTGTCCCTCCGCCACCGCAGAGATACAGCTCAAGCCGCATCACAAGCCTTTCCACATCCGCCGGGAATGGCGCGCGCTGCTCCGGAAATACTCGTCAGCAGAGCAGGACGAAATCATCAGGGACGAACCGATCGTCTCCTTCCAGCGCAGCGTGTTCTTCTCGAAAAAGGATGAAATGAAAATCCGGTCAGTGTTACCTTGGCTGTCGATTACGGAAAGCAACCTAGCAAAGCTCGGGGTAGCCACCAAATGGGAGGGGGACCAATCCACCGCCCATATACTTGTCCGTAATTTAGAGCACGCTTTCATCATTCACACACACTCCCAAAGATATCAAAATTCTACCGTCGTATGCATGATCTCTGAAGCTTCAGACTCGCGTGCTCACGCCGGGGCCGCCGCATCTGCACGGTCGTACTGCGTCGCGCCCGGCTGATGCGGACTGCTGACGTCGTGCTGTCCGCCGCAGCGACCCGCGCGTGCTTGAACTGCTGTACGAGGAGGCCCGGTTCAACATCCTGGAGGGTCGCTACCCGTGTGAGGCGAGCGACTACGACATGCTGGCCGGCCTGCAGGCGCGCCTGGAGCTCGGCGCGTTCGACGCCGACGTCCACACGCCCGACTTCTTCAGGTTTGGCGTGCCTCCACAGCTCTGCATGCTGGGGCGGTACTTTTGATAATAGAATGGATGGTGGCATCTGGACTTCAGAATACCATACTCACGTGGCCATGGGTAATAACTAATCTTGACCGCTCCGGGGTGGCACCGGGTGCAGGCCTCGGGTGCTCACAATCCGATACTGACTGGTCCGGGGTGGCACCGGGTGCAGGCTTTGGATGCTCACAATTCGATATTGACTGGTCCGGGGTGGCACCGGGTGCAGACTGCGGGTGCTCACAATCCGATCTCGACACGTTGGTGGTGCCTCAAACAGAGCTGTGTGCGTCGCCACCGGGTGTGCCATCCTTAAATGGGTCCGATCTCTGGTGCCCGCGGACGCACCTTTTGCCACGGTTAGCCTTCACGACCCCATAGTGAATTCATCCCCACTCGGAATCTTCCGGCTGGTGCAAAACACGATATGCGTTCTCAGGCGGACGTTGCACATATGTACCCTGTGGCTAGGCCGTCAGGAGCCCAATCACGAGGCGCGTAAATCGGTACAACATGCAGGATCTGGCGGGTCTGGAGCCTCGTGACCGGACCCCGTCGGCCAGCACCGCGGCACCTGCACCCGGGCGCAGCCGAACGCATCTCCGTGCGCGGCGCTCCCCGCACTTCACCCTCCCCCCTCCCTCCTTGCCCGCAGGTCACACATCGCCGAGTACCTCCCGGACCACATGATCAGCCACAGCTGGTCGCTGATCAACAGGATCGGCGGCAAGACCAGCACCGAGGCGCGCATCATCGAGCAGCTGCGGAGCATACCGAGCGGCGCCACTAGGCGCAAGCTGGTGCGCAAGTACCTTGAGTTCTGCTGGTCGCTGCCCTACTACGGCAGCGCCTTCTTCCACGCCCAGGTGGAGAAGCCGGCCCGGTCGCTCGTCTCCGTCTTCTACCGGCCGGACGTGCCTGTGCTGGTCTCCGTCAACGGCCACGGAGTTTACGTCATTGACAAGGGCGCACGGGTGAGCAGACTGCCGAGGTGGCGCCGGGCTGCACCGCTGTTGGCGGCGCGTGCGGCCCAGTCCACTGCGTTGGACTAGGGCGTCATCCACTGCTTGCGAGTCTGAGTCTTGGAATGTGGTGTTGATTGCATTATCGATCGTCTATCTACGCTCACGACGTTGAACGGTATACCAGTTATGCGAGTGTTATGCCATTCATCGATTCAAGAATGAGAAATTTCAGCCTCTAAGAACTTGTGCCCATCCATCCGCGTCGACCTTGTCATGTTCATTGTGGGGCCTGGTGGTATATAAGGTGTCTCCCAATTGTTTGGCCGTAGGGTGTTCGTTGTCAAGGACGTGGTTTTGCAACATGATTCGAGGGTCTAAGCGACTAAAAATGACAAAACTTTCCAACAAAATCGCCATCAAATGGTTCCCACGAGCTTGGCTAACGTTCTTGTCAAAGATGGAGGCCTGGCACCCAGGTAAGCGTGACTGGGCTTCCCAACTGAAAAGCAGACTGCATCTGTGTACAATGTCATGCCTGTTGTTGGCGTGCAGTCGTGCCACAATCAAAGCCTGTGGGAACGGTACATGTTGCTGGCGCGGCATCGTGTCGCGATCACAACCTGCGGGAACGTTGCCCGTTGTTGGCGCGGCGTCGTGCCACGATCACAGCCTGCGGGAACGGTGCCCGTTGTTGGCGCGGCGTCGTGCCACGATCACAGCTTGCGGGAACGTTGCCCGTTGTTGGCGCGGCGTCGTGCCACGATCACAGCTTGCGGGAACGGTGCCCGTTGTTGGCGCGGCGTCGTGCCACGATCACAGCCTGCGGGAACGATGCCCGTTGTTGGCGCGGCGTCGTGCCACGATCACAGCCTGCGGGAACGATGTGGTTACAGACGGTGCTGCTGGGTCTCAGCTACGACGAGCTGGCCTGGGACTTCGCCAGGCCGTGCCAGGAGAGCATCCCCGACTGCATGCCCTGCATCTTCTTGCAGTTCCAGGCGGTCGAATACGGCATGCGCGTGTCCAAGGTCCTGCAGGTGTTCTCCAAGCAGGTGCGAGCCAAACTGAACCCAAACATTCTATAAGTCATTACCAACAGTTTGTGTTGCATGGAGGGATGAACATTCAGTTAACTTTCGTATATCTTCGGATTGGTAGCGCATATCACAACGTTGATAGCATAATCATTTTGGAGGCACATCATAGTCGTTTTTGTGCTACGCAAGCATACGTAACCCATCTTCATTACAGCTCAAAAATATGATGGGGCACAAAAATATGATAAATGTAAAATACGATTAGCTTTAAGGCGTGCGCTATTCTTCTGGCCGCCGCGTGGGTACGGGGTAAATGGACAAGAAAACGTCGCTGCTTCCGGACGGTTGACGACCTCTTCCATCCTCTGGTCGGCAGTCGGCGCTGATGGATGCGCTGATCGCGTCCTGCGTAGAGGAGATCAAGCAGCGAACGCTGCGCTACGGCGACGAGATCGACGCGCAGCTGTATGACGCGGCCGACGTGGACGACGCGCTGGTGCCACTGACGACCGTCACGCGCCGCGAAATGCCCGACAGCTGCCTCAGCAACAAGCTGCAGCGTCTGACTCTGGCCACCTTCAACGAGGACGGCGAGTGCATCAAGAAGATGGGCTCGTGGTCCTTCAGCAAGTAGATGGGCTCATGGTCCTTCGGCAAGTAGATGGGCTCGTGGTCCTTCAGCAAGTAGACGGCTGGACGGGCGAGCCCCGTGGTGGTCGCCGCGGGCTCGGCGATGGAACGGAGGCGTCACGACTGGTGGCGGTGGTGATCACAGCCGTCGAACCTCCGGTGCTCTCTGGCCCGGCAGAATAGTCTGATCGGTGTTCGTGGCCTGGCCGAGCGGACTGCGCTGGTGGCGGAGTGGGCCGACGTCTAGTGATATTTGCCTAACACGTGACGTCATTGGTGCGTGGCCGATCAGGGTTGCCGTCGTCGACTCTGTGTTGGATGAGACAGCTGCTGGGTTGCGCACTGCGTCGTTTGGGGTGAAGTGCCAGCGAACTCCGGAGTGGAGCATGCTTATGTCAGGTCGGCATTTCGTGGTGACTAAACGAAACCTACGAGTCGGTTCTGGAGAGTGGTGTATCGCATCGTTTTGTTTGCTGTGGTGCAAATTCTCAGAAGCTGCTTGTTCTCCAAGATAGAACGAGTCAAAAACACGCTTTGCATTGTTGGAGTGGTTTTGCTGCCAGTTTTCCCCACGTTGATGAGATGATGTTACTCACGTTAGTTGGGATCTTCAGGTTTGTTCAAGTATTTATCACGTGTAACGTGGCCATCACAAAATCAGATACGTGCATCCAGATGTTGATTGCATAACGATTACTGATTCATTGCCGGTGAGGACGGCAGCTTTGTCTTTGCTCAAACATTGCACATAATTGTCATTTTGACCTGTAGGATTGTTGGTGAATTCCCGTATCGAAGTCGGACGACGTGAAGAAACTTGAGTAAGTAGTAAATGCTTGGTGTGAGAACAAAACGATTAGCTTCACACACGCCGGTGGTCAAAGCTGGAAATGCGTGCAATCATTTTGCGGTCATCTGTGACAGTCATTCGCAGCATTCCTTTCCGCATGGAACGTCGAATTCAAACGATGCTGTTTAGAATAGGGGAATTATTATCGAGTCTGTTCTGCTGCAGGAATTTGTGGCATGCGTTGCTTACTTGTCATTGTCGCCATACACTTGATATCGATCGAAAGGTTTTCAGTGACGAGATGAAAGGCATGGTCAGCAATGAAAGACCCGTCACTCTGAGTGCTGGTCCTTCAGCGCGCGAAGCAAGGTGCGTATTTATCTCTGCCATAACACTGGTGAGTTGCGTTATTGAATATGACTGCACCAAGTGTACCCCAGGCTGAAGAAAAAGCGTATTTCATTGCAACGCAGCAAAGAAAAAACTTGAATGCTCGTTAACACATAATTCGTGTACTTGAATAGGCATGCACATTTTATGTTACGTCTCGGCAGCGTCCTTGAATTGTCGACTTTGGGTGTAAAGCATCGCCCTATGAGGAGGAATTTTTCACTCCTTTTCCCCACATTTTATGTGATTTTTTTCGCTCCTGCCTGACATTGTCTGATCGCACATGCCAAACCCCTCTTTCCCTTTCTGAGGTTTTCAGATGTCATCCATAACCGAGCTCACTTGAAACCACCAAGCATAAACAAGGTTCCACAGAACCTGGACACCTATGGCTATGTCCTGCCTCACCTACATCTGAATCATGTCTATGCATGCACAGAGAAGGGGCGCCAGGTACTTCCAAGCCCAAGAACCCCAGCGACTCCAGCCGCTTGTACGCACTCTTGGTTTGTTTACAAAATGCACCACAATCGACAGCTTCGTGCCAAGTGCAAGGTTTTCACGCATCCCCCATTTTTTGGTCTTACCACCACACCACGAAAGCAGAGGCTGGTGCAAACAACAGCAAGGTCTGGTAGATAATTTTACTCGACGTATTTCCTTTTCCCGAGAAAACTTGACCACTAAATTGCATCACTCCCGAAATGCAGGAATGGAGAATTCAAGAAATGTCTTCTAAATTGAATTTACGAGATGAATATCACCATTTGAGCACTCATGTTAAGAGATTTTACGTCAAGTCAGGTGATTACACAATTTTGCCAAAAAGATATCAGCGTTTATATTTATTTAACTACTTTTGTTTTTCTTGGTGTCATACGAGTGTGATATCACTTTACGTTTCTTTCCTTTTCGACTGCCTCTAGAGGTACCATCTGCAGCTTAAAATGTTGACGAATTTGTCTGCAAGATGCTCCAACTGCAAACTTGTACGTTTTCTATACATAAATTGGATTAATTCGCCAGCCGCCCAAACATGTTTGATATGCACCAAAGGGTGAGCAATTCACAGGAAATGAAGGCGACAATATCAAGCACGGAACTTACCTTTACCGCCATTTTTGCTTCGTTAAACCCCTGGATAACGGTTTTCTTGGTTCATGGCGGTGCTCAATAATGATAAATCCAAGCCTTTCGGGAGTCTGACTCACCAGGCTACCTGACAAGGCTATCCTAATGCTGCCATATAGAGCTTTGGGACAGACCCGACGCAGCTAAAACAGAAGTGTTTGATGGCGAAATTTTGCCCTCTGGAGATGTTCATCATGCACAGCTCTTATTTGTTTTTCATTTTAATCTCGTAGGCTGGTGGGCATGATTGATATATATATTTGGGGGGTGAGTCGGGTGACTCTGTCTGCTAACAGACCATACAAAAGGTACTGACTTTTTGTTTGGGAGGAGCAGGAAGAAGCCAGTAAGCCTCCTGTGGGCCAAGTAACTTCTTACCTTACCTGCTTTCAGCACATGATTGCTAGGCAGAGTTAGCCATTTTCTGTTTTAATCCATCGAGTTTTGTCATAAGACAAATTGTGATGCCACAAGGCATGCGATGGACTCATTTTGCTCTATATTCTTGGTTATTTGCCCGAAATTCTTGAAGTGGTCTCTCATGGCTGCTTTAACCAGATATTTGTTATAGGTGTCATGGTTTACTGACTGGCAAATGACTGTACTGTATATATGCACTATATTTTTAACACAGGGATACTCTAAGGTGCATAGCAATTATAAGGTGAGTTAGATATTAGTATGTAACAAATAGTCAGACCATTCCATTTAATATGTGAAGCCTATATCTCAAACTTTATCATTACATATGAATAAAGAAGCCCAAATAGATGCCTTTGCTCCAGCTGAAAAGACAAGTAGCAACACTGGCATGGTCATATGAAAGTTATGTTACTTTTGGAGAGGAGAGATTGTTTTGTGGAGCATACCCATTATTGCCCTTGACATATGTTAACCACGGCAATCCAAACAAATTGTTCAAAGTGATTTCAAGCGTTTTGATTCGTGTGTGTCAAATTGATTTGTGTTTTGTCTGATGTCAACAAGCATACACAAATGAACTGAATAAAAATGCATGTTGAAACCAGTCAAAAATCAGCTTAATCATGTTTTTATCGCAAGTGCTGCTGTCAACAGATAGGTGAGTTGAGATGTTGTTCAACATATGGGCTACTCTAAGTTAGGTTAAGTTGGTTAAGTGCATAGCAAGTGGCAATAAGAATTGTGCAAAAAATCAGTAGCTCATAACTGCTTCTGTGATACAAACAGGTAAGACAGAGTGAGATGAAGTAAGGCCTGTTTAGGTTAGGCATAGTTAGGCTACTTTCATGGAAATAAGCATTGGTGTTTTGTGAGAAACGGTGACAAAATGCTTGTTTTCCTTGACCCCATCTTAGCAGAAGCCAAAGGTATGTATATTGTGTTTGACTTGGCGATGAGCTGATGTGTATAAACCCAAGGTTTTTTGTTGGGTGTTTTATGCTTGTTGAACTTCATAGTGCTATTTTGTTATTAATTCCTTTCTTTGTGTTGTGCTAAAAGTGCTGTGGAACTGAAGCGCGAAGTGCAGCATCAAATTATTGGTGTCAATAATTTTTATGCTCATCACGCTGTCATGAAATTACTATGCTTTAATGTGTTCTATTTCACTTAAATGGCCTAAGATGTTACAAAGGTAAAATAGTTTTGTCAGGTTTCTGATATTACGTCCATGCCAACTTGAAACAGATGTCTTTGTTTGCTGAAGCATCAGTCACGAGCTCATCAGTTCCATGTTTTGTGAATTGATTTTTTCACTCCTGCACGGTCTTTTTGCGATGACATTTTTCACTCCCATCCTAGTTCAAAAGCGATTCTAGCTCCCTGCGTCTCGGTGTTTAAGACAGCAGGTTTTCGATGAATTCAGGCATTAGACTGCTCTTACTGTTGAAATTCAAAGTTGACAAGTTGTGTCATAAGTTGCATGCCTTAGGTGCCTGGGTAGGATGGTGGGTAGTGCGGAAGATTCCGACGTCTTATGTGGTGCAGAAAAAACTCCATGTTCTGCTTACTATATTCCATACACCACCGGTCGCACGTCATTGACATTTTTAACTCAAATTTACTGAACGTTATTGCGGCGCACCTTATGCAAAGCCTAAAGTATTAGTGGTCTTGGATAAAGCCCATGGGTAACTCCATGTTTAATTCCGACGCGAATGAGAATAACGCATAAACACTCAGCCAGCAATTTCGTTCCGATCCCAACCGTTCCTCAATTTTGCCGCTTTGGTTATGTTTGGATTAGCTCGGAAAGTGAAACACTGGTTAGAATGTACCCACCATGTTCTGAAACAATTTCCAACTTTCTCCAGGCGCCCAGTTGGGTCATCCCGGGCGTTTCCCAGTCGTCTTTTTACATTAAGAGAAATGTGATCGGGATATCCCGGCCTTTTCCCAACAAACCGTTTGGGGAATCCCGAGTGTTCCCCATGCTGCCTACAGAGGGCACGCATGGAGAGATGCCCGGTCCCGATCTGGATTCTTATCCTTTCCCCAAGCGGGCGGTTGGGAAAAAACCGTTTGGTATCCATCTGCCTATGATGAAGACGTACTGAAAAATTATGGCAACGATCGGGGTATCTCACTGCTTCCCAAGAAGGAAGTTGGAGAAATCCCGAGCGTTCTCAATCGTTGATCGACAGCAGCAGGCTCAATCGGGGCAGCTTGGGAAGCCTACGCGTTTTCCAAGGCTGTTTGGGGCTCTTAGGATTTTCCCAAGCCTTCCGTAACATTCTGCGACCTTTCCCGACCTTTCCTCAAGTAAACTGCTGGCTGGGCACAATTTATTTTAGTATACTTTTGACCTTGAACTGATGCTTGAATTAAGCTTGCTTGAATATGCCTATGCCTGTTTATTTTGCCACAACCTGGCATGTAGTTGCAATGACGTGCGGAGACGGAGTACATAATTTTTTAATTGTGAACTGTGATATTGACCCACGCTGCATGCCACTGTTTTTACAGGGCATGCAACGCGATATCTAGATATTTCTAGCTCAGATCGTGAGTGTGGAAGCCGGCTCCGCACATAACACACGCCGTGGCTTAGCTTCAAAACTCGCACCACCCTGCCAGCCCGCTGAACACCACAGCTGTGTAGTAGCGTGAGCGATGCCAGTGCAAGGACTTGGTGCACCGCCCGCATCTCATTGAAATGATTCATGTAACGAGCTCCATATAGACGCGATCGTTCTACCGTGACATGTATTGACTTGACCTTCCTACGTCCATGTTCCACGTGATATGTTATACGGTGGCTTACGTACATTTTCACGTTCAACAAGCTCCACTGCTACTCCACCGAAACAAAAACGTGTGCAAACAGCGATGGAAGGAGAGCAACAAAGAGATTCTCGTCCCAAAACTCAACAGCGCGGTGGCAAATAATTTACTGGCTGGCGCAGGGCGCATGCGCTCAACGTGACCACAGCGACTGTGTAACGACTTCTTGCACCGCGCGGTGTTTTCAGGCAATCAGGTGTAGTCGGACTTTCTTGAGTGATCGGTTGATAGCAATTCTGATGTCATGGGCCATAAGCCGTCACATCGCCCATTCCTCATGCTTCGCGGAAACACATCGCCGGTTAGCACACGGTATCAGGGGTGCACGTAAGCGCGAATGCACCGGTCAGTAGTGTCATGACGGCTGTGTAAACTTCTGCACAGATCATATCGTTATTTGACATCTGTGGTGATTGACTGCAGCAGAAAAGGCAAACAACACCTGCATTGAATCCCACGTGATGCAGATAAGACATGGGGCAGACCACAAGGTCATTGAGGCGTCGGCGGTCGCGGGGATAGGTGGTGCAATGATACTGAAGTCGTCCTCTTGGGACGCCGCCATCGGGTTCATTGTGCCATCGAGCCATAGACTGCGATGCACACCATCTGCGCCCCGGCGTCTCGTGGTGGACGTCAGCCAAGCTCTGCCCGATGCCACCCTGTCTATGCTACCC